GCCCCGTGTCTCCCGTGTCTCCCCTGTGCGTGCGTGCTTGTGTGCATGTGCATGCATGCATGTCTTCCTCCTGTTTGCCTCTAATTTTCCGCTTGTGGTCCTCATCATTAAGCATCGACCTCCCGCTTGTGGGGGGCAGTGCCCGGTGCATGCAGGGCCGTCTCAGCAGAACTGTGAAGGGTGTGGGGTGAGCTTGCCAGGGGCCCTAGGGTGGGGGAGCAGGGACCCCTCAGGAGGGGTCCTGCCCTCCTGAAGAAAGCAGGACTGAAGCCCACAGGAAGCTGAGCTGACCTGGAGGGGCAGGCTGAGTTCTGGGGTTGACACAGCAGCCCCCCCAGGCCTCCATGAGAATGAAGGGGTCCTGGATGAGAAGAGGGTACAGATGGGACTGGGGTCCCTGTGCAGGCCCTGTTGGAAAGACTTGCTCACCTCTACAGTGACCTTGTGCCTGTCTGGGGTGGTGAGTCACCAGGGGATCAGCCCTATGGGGTCCCTAACGTGAGGGGCAGGCGGTGCTGAGAGGAGGGTGTGGCAACCAGTGACCTGGCAGGGAGGGCTCTCAGGGGAGGTGGCTCATGGAGGGAAATGCAAACAGCCAGGTCAGGAGACACCAGAGATGGGAAGATGATATGTAGGTGGGGAGATGGGTGATAGGTATAGATAGGCGCATGATAGGTAGGTGGGCAGATACATGATAGAGGGGTGATAAGTAGATGGTAGGTAGGTATGGAGATATTTGGATTGATGAGAAACATATAAACATTAAGATATAAATAAACAGATGAATGATAGTTGAGAGATGCATAGATAGATGGCAGATGGTCAATAGGTAGATGGACAGGTGAGTACTCAATGACAGGTAGATAGGTAGACAAATAGATATTGTGTTGAGCTGGGTTGACCAGAGAAACAAATCCAGTGACCCTCTTATATGTGTAAGAAAGAGCTTTATATCAAGAAGTAATTATGCATCCAGAACACATCCCAGTCCATCCCAGATCAAGTCCATAAGCCCGATACTAGTCCATAAATCCCTCTTCAGACTCACGCAGCCACATGCAATGATGCAGGGTGCTGGAAGGTCCCAGGCCGGTGGGTGCAGTCTTGGGAATGCAGTGGTGGTGGAAGCATCTCCAGGGCTCTGGCAGGTCTCTGCAGTGGCTCGTCAACAGGAAGGTGAAGGCAGAGAGAGAGCAGGTTCCCAGGACCTTCCTTATGAGGCCACGCCCACCAGGCGGGGCCTTGAGGCTGTGACCTGATTGGCAGGCTGGACTCCACCCCTGCACGGTCACATCTTCACGTTGACGGGAAGTTATGTAGATACTGTAGGTTGGTAGATAGATTGATGGATAAGTGGATGCTAGGTGATCACTATGGCAGACTGATGGGTGGGAGCTACAGGATAGATAGGGAGATAAGGAGTCATCCTGGTGGCCTGGCTGTTGAGCACTAGCCAGAGTGTTCTTGGTTCAAGCCCCCCAGCAGAAAGCCCTGGGGGGAGCTCTCTCTGTCCCAGGTGGGCTCTGCAGCACAGCCACACACAGGTCATGTGGTCCCGTCCAGAGGCATCAAGGAGATAGAAAACAGCCAAAAAGCAGGCCACCTGTCAGTCAGATTTACTTACTAGAGTCACATCCCCCAATCATGCTTCATTCAAGCCATGGGGGCGCCTTTTGGCACCCGCAGAACGTTAGGCCCCAGGAGCATCATTTCTGCCCAGTCCCTGGAGAAGGAGGGGCTGTGAAACGGAGGACGGAGGACGCCGTGCAGGAGCCGGGCTGACGGTGGCTCCAGCAAAGGGGCAGAGCAGCCTCTGTGAGGACGCACAGCCCTGGGCGGCGACCCTCTGCCAGCGTGGGGTCACGATGAGCAGAAACTGACCTGGACAAGGAGCCCACTGCGGCAGTGACATGTGGTGTCAACTAACTTGCGGAGGGGTGGAGTCTAGCCGGTCAACCGGGTCACAGCTTGATGACCTCATTCGGAGGCTCCAGGGAGACAAAGAGCTTGCTGGAGGCCAGATGCACGCAGACTCTCTGCTGTCTTCCTGCTGACAGGCCACATGGAGACTCC